AAGGAAAGACAGCCATCTAGACGGCGGCATCCGGAGGCCTCGGGGCTTCCGGGCTTCCGGTTCCTGGACCCCGCGGCCTGAGCTCGGGGACGTGGGCGTCGCGCTGAGGGACGAGGCAGAGCCGCGGAATCGCCGCCAGGTCCGGTCCTGGTACACGCCGCCCATCGCGCCGCCCGCCCGCCCCGCGTCCGCCGCCGCCGCCATGGGAGTGCAGGTGGAGACCATCTCCCCCGGAGACGGTGAGTAGGTGCTCCTGGCGGTCCTGAAGGCCCCGCCGCCGCGAGCATCCGCTCACCGCACCCGTCTGTCTGTCTGTCTCTTCAGGGCGCACCTTCCCGAAGCGCGGCCAGACCTGCGTGGTGCACTACACGGGTGAGTCGGCGGGCCCGCGGGGTGGGGGGCCCCCAGCCCGGGGGCGGCCTGGGGGCAAAGGCCCGGGGCGTGGTGGCAGCGAGGCCCGCGTGGCCCGAGGCTGAGGCCTGGGCGGTGGCAGCGCCCCCGAGGGGACAGCCTCGCGCCTGCGGTACTCGGGACTGTCTGAGCCGGCGCTTGTGAGCGCTGACTGCGGGCCGGGCGTTATCTCACTCTTCACAAGGAATTCTGTGCCTCAGCGGCTTCCCTTATTCCCACTGCACAGATGGGGAAACTGAGGCTTGGGGAGGCGAAGTCGCTTGTCCAAGGTCACACGCTCAAAAATGGGCATAACCCGGCCAGCGACCATCAGAAAGGATTTGTACCATTTCTGTGTCCCGGTTGACACCCTTGCCCCCTTCCGGCCCGGCCCTGCCCTCCCTTCGATGGAGATGATAAGGGCGAGGTACTTCCCAGTCTGCGGAGCTGCCCCTTCCCCCACGCCCTGGAAGTCGGGCTTCGCCCCTCTGCCGCGCGCGGGTGGAGAAACGTCCCAGTTCCTAAGTCACTGCTTGGGCTCAGCCTGGCTTTGGAGGAACTAGATCTGCGTGGTCTTTTTCCTCTTTTTACTTTTGAGCCACTTACACAGCCAAGCCTCAGTGGCATTGATGGCCCAGGCTGACAGACTATGTAATTTAGTGCCCCGGCTCTTCTAGGAGTAGAGACTTTCTCACCCCCATTTGAAAGACAAGGAAGCTGAGGCCATCTAGGGTAACAAACAGTATTGAAAGCCAAAGGAAATTGGGGACCGTCCGCCAGAATTCAGACATCGTAGTCTGGTGCCCTGAGACCATCTTGTACTCCATGCCCTTACAAGGTCCTCCTGTGTTGTATTGGGGAGGGGGTGGGGAGAGGGTGGGGAGACCAAGCAGGCGGAGACTCCTTGGCTGTGGGCTGGAGGGGGGGTGGCGATTTGTGTAGCCGCGGCTGCTGATATGAATAATTTCCCCCCCCTCTCCTCTTTCTCCTTTTTCCACCTTCCCACCCTTTCCTCTGTTCCTCCTCCCGCTTCCTCTGTTCCCTCCCTTGTCTTCCTCCTCCTCCTGGGTAGTAGGCTCTGGGATGTTCTTTCTGAGGGAGCTGCTCAGGGATACGCTCTACCCTCCTAAGCCCTACCCTTTTCTCCCAGATTACTGGGGTATGGAGGGGGGGCTCTGTTGAGGGATATGACTTCTATTAAGAAGGGAAAAAAGGCATGTAACATTCCCCCTTCATGTGCCCTTTTATTTTTCCGGCTCTTTTATTTCCCTGGCCCTTCTCCATGGGTAGAAATGGGGGCAAGGGGTGGAGGGAGTTAAGGACTAGAACCTTTAAAAAGGCTACAAGTGGCGAAGGTATTGAAATCCATCTTTGTAGGGAACAGTCTCATGCCAGGGAACGAGACACGGGAAAGTGGTTTTTCACATTTTAAATGACTGTCTTTTTTAAGCCATGGTCAGCACCTGAGCCCAGGGGGTCTAGTGGAGGAAAGCTTGTCAGTTTGGTGGTTTTTGATCAGTGGGATGAGAAGAGTATCCATTTCCTTTTACAGAGCTGGGGTGAGTGGGCAGTTCATTCACTTCCCACGGCCAACTATACAGAGACTGGGACTCACTCAGGCGATGAGGTGACTCCACTGCCAAGTCTGTGCCCCTCATCCCTGGCTTACCCATCTTCTGGTGCTGATGGCAGGGCTGGACACCAGCACGTAGGCAGAACTACATTTCACGGTGCCTCTTGATGAAATGTCCCCACACAGCGTGTCTGGAGCCTTTCTCTGAAGGAACAGATGGCCGTGGGACCCAAAACACCATCAGGGCTCCCAGTGCCTCTTCTCTGAGTCTGTGTTTTCCTTGAGGGTGGCACTCACCCACACGTCCCCAGAACAGCAGCAGGACCCTGGTATGCATTCGGACAAAAGCTTTCTTTTTAATTTCATTTTTGATAAGCCCCACAAGGACGCCTTAGTGAGATGTCAGCCTCTGTCTCACACTCACAGAATAGGCTGTTCTTGGGCGGCGGCTTTGTTCCTGTGGGTCTTTGCCACCAGCCTCCAAGGAAGAACCTGTTTGAGACCTGTGGGGGCGTGAGAGGAATGGGGAAGGCACTTTGAGATTTCATCTGTAGCAGTTAAGTCTTTTAAGCAACTGGGAACAACCCATCTTGAGGGAACATGATTGGGGCAGCGGGAGTGAAAGGATCTTAAGATTCAAAGGTCTTCAAAGGCAGGAAGCCCACTGGGCCTTAAGAACGGTGAAGAAATTCTCATGATCCCCACTTTTCATCTCTGCTTTTCTCTAACTGGCTGCCTCAGTAGTTTCCTAGTACAGATTGCTGTTTCTCTGTTTCTCCCAAATGGATGGTGGAAGTCCCCTGTGTGCCCACCCACCCTCCTCCAAACCCCCACTCCATGCCCAGCTTCTCAGTCTCCTTTTGAGTGTCTAGCTCGGATTGCTTGGCTGTGTGACTCTGGTGATTACAGTTTCTAGGAGGAAGAATCTGATTGACCCAGGTTCGGGTAAGGTGAACACTCTTGATCCAGTCCACCCTGGCCAGGTGTTCACTACTGCTGATTGGAGAGCAGGTCCAAAGAAACAGCAGTGGAAGTAAGGTACTTGCCAAAATCCCCTCTCAGCAATCTGAGATATGCATGACATAGACTTTTACCACAGGGATGTTTGAAATGTTACTGGTGGCTGCCAGTAGTAGCTTTGATGTTACCCTTTGGTGCCTTTTGTGTGGCCTCTAGCAGAGTACAGCATGAGCATGGCCTCAAAGGCCTGCATCACCTCTTTGTGGGGTACCACAAGGGAAAATGGAAACTTGACTGTCACCAGCCAAGCACCTTCTAGCAGTATGACAGGCACTGCGGTAGGAGGAAGGAGGTGGAAAGATAACCTGCCAAATATGTGCCGTGAGGACAAGTGCATACTCATGGCTCCCTCCTTACCTACAGTAGCTTCTTCATCTTGATCCTGGAGCTTGTCCTGACACAGAGCTAGGCTTACATCTCTCTTACTCACATCAGCATGCCATGTGCCTGCCATTGTCAGAGCAACCTCAAGTGGATTGAAGGAATTCTTTTTTTAATCTCTTAAATATGAATTGACATCTTGTCCTAGAGATCAGGTTTGTCAGTAGCCTGGCTTCTGACTGAGAAAAACCAAGGATCCCTCAGCCCCGTCTCCTCAAGAGGTCCACTTGGAGGGCAGTTGAACGAGCTCCCAGGGCAGGTGTGACCACTTGATTGCTGCCCCTCACCCCTCCAGCCCTTTGCTTTTCTTTAGCCTCTGCCTTCCCCTTTCCTCTCTGTTTTATTCCACCCACTCCCCTGCTGGTGTTTCTTGGCTGATGAGCTGATGTCTGGAGGAAGGCTTACTCCCAGCAGAGACTCCGCAGATGGCTTCCCCTGTGCCATCTTCAGGTAGACAGGCTGTAACTGTTTGGGTTGGGCTGTGACAGGACCCTTCCTTCCTACAGTAGATGTCTGTGGAGCAACAGCAACAAGTCAGGCACTGGGGACATGGGCAGTGAACTAAATAGACAAAGACCTGATCTGGTGGGGCTTACCTCGGGTGACAAGACTAATAATAGCAAGGGGTGGTGAGAAGCACTGTGGAGAGATTAAGGCAGAGTGAGGGTGTGGGGAGGGGGGCTTGCTTTAGTGAGGGTGGTTGGAAAAGGCCTCTGACAACATGACATTTTAATGTTGACCCAAAGGAAGTTGGGGAGTGAGGGACATGGCTGTCTAGAGGGAGAGTATTCCAGGCAGAGGGAAGAGCTAGTGAAGGGGCTCTGAGGCTGGAGCATGCTTGGTGTATCAGGAACAGCAAGGAAACCAGTGTGGCTGGAATGGACTGTGTGAGGGGGAACGTGGTAGGAGATAATGTGATGGCGGAGCCTTGTCGGCTGTTACATGGGAACATTGGCTTCCTCTCTGAATAAAGTGGGATCGTTGGAGGGTCATGAGCTGACTTGGGTTTTAACAGGCCCACTCTTCTGGCTACTGCGAGGACCTTGAACTGTTGGGGCCAAGTGCAGAAACAGGGCTCTGGTTATATCTTAGGTGTGTAGAGTGTGCCATCCTGCGCAGATGGACAGAGATGGTGCCAGGTGGACACGCTTCCCCAAAGATGTGGGTCCTTTGCTTGGTCCACATCTCGTGTCTGCCATGTAACATACTGAGAGCTTGGCGAATTGTCTCACTTTTCTTAGCTTCCATGCGCCATCTGCAAAATGGGAGTGATGGCGCCTGCTGTGAGGAGCTGCTGGGACAGGTGCATCGCAGGAGGGGCAGCAACAGGGCTGCTGTTATTGCACTTACTGTCATTAAGGCCCCCTGTGTCCCAGGCACTGGGTGATGTACCCTCCCTGGTCTTTTGTCCAGCTGGCACCTCCTGTGATGTCTAAAGAGGGAGAAAGGCAGAGCCCTGGCCTCATCAGCACTGCAGCTCCTGGAGTGGCCAGTCGTATGTGCAGTTTAGGGTCAGTGGAGATGGATGGGCTGAGACCTTTCATTTTACAGATGGAGAGATGGGCACCTACAAAAAAGAGATGAATCTGAGCTAGGATTCATCCTAAAACAGGTCTACTCGTTGTCTACAGAATATATTGGCTAAGAAAGCTACAGTCATTCTCTTAAGTTTGAGGACCAAGGGAGGGTTTTACTGTTGGTCGTTGTTTCTTGTGGGTATGAGAGGGGCACAGTTGGGCTGTGTACCAGCTTGGCTGTGTGAACAGGTTAAGATGTCACTCCTTTTTCTCCTCAAGTTTCCTTAACATCATGGAATTTTAACATTTTGAAACTAGATCTTGTTACGGAAACATTTCCTTTCCTCGGGGACTGTGATCAGCGAAATACAGATCCTGCAGATGCTGTTCCCTTCCTCCACAGGTGAGAGCAGAAGGCTCGCGTGTCTTAAGTGAACCAGAGCATCCTTGCGTGTATGTGCGACTCTTACTTGTGATGTTTTCAGAAACAGAAAAATCAAAGTAGAACAATAAACACCCATGTGCTCACCACCTAGAGTCCACAGTGGTTGACAATTTATCATATTGGCCATTTCTGTCTTACGAAATATACTATATATTTTGGGGGTTTTTTTGTTGTTGTTTGCTGAACCATTAAAGTTACAGACATCTTGTCATTACCTGTAAATACTTGAGCGTACACGTAAGAATGAGAAGGTTCTGTTTACCCTCCTATTGGTCACATCTCAGAAAATTGAAAATGATTCAATAGTATCTAAAACCAAATTCACATTGAAATTATCGCAGTGGTCTTCAAAGTGTTTTTTAGTAACTTTTTTTTTTAACCAGAATTCAGTTGAGGTGCACTCATTGTGGTTGGGAATTATATCTGTAGTATCAATCGGGAAGAGTCCTCGCATTGATTTTTTTTCATAATGACCTTGGTGTTTCATAGAGAGCAGACTTGTTGTCTTATTGAATACCTCACGGCATCTCATTGTTTCCTCCTGGGCTTGGCTAACTCCTTCCATCACCTTGATTTCCTGTAAACTGGAAGTTGAAATGTCTGAATAGTTTCTGGTTAAATGTTTGAGTGTAAAGACTTCATACGGGATGCCATGTACGTAATACTCAGCACCTGGTGGAGAACATCACTATTTGTGCTGCTAAATTTGGTCCTTTTTTGTAAAGGTACGTCTTACCCTTTGCAGTGAGCAGGAGATCTGTGGGGTACCTGCACATCCTGCGGTTGCCCTACTGCCTTCCCTCTACTGGTATTTACACCAAGGCTAACTCGTACCTAAAGAAATCATTTCACTGGCATTTCCAAAGTGGCGATTTTAAAACTCTGATACCTCCTACATTTATTAGCTGTCATTTTACAAAATAAGGTAAAGCGTAATTCTTTCCCTTTAATTACTGATTTTTAAAGTGAGGAATTGTTTTTATAGTCATCCCCAATGGTGGCAAGTAAGCCTCCCGCACCCCTACCCCCATCTATTTGTTTGTTTTTAGTATACTATGAGCTTATCAGTTTTACTCAGGGCCCTAAAATCACTGATATTCATTATTCTTTTGGATACTCACAATGTCCCAAATTGAGCCAGCAGGAGCCCCTTCAAGCTGGCTCCAGTACCTTTTTGACACACTCCCACTATTCTATTCCTTAATCACTTCCTGGTTTTCACTGCCCTGGTCCTGACATCAGTCATCTCTCTAAAGGGCTCTGGTTCTTTCCAGTGGGTCTTACAGACTTTTGTTTTTATTAACAGCTTTATTAGTTACAATTTACATACCATAAAATGCATCCATTTACCCGTAGGCTTTTTAACTTGAACAGTGTTGGTGGTTAAAAACTGATTTTTGTGTTAATGTGTTCATTATATCTGTAAACTGGAGAATCATTTGTGTGCCTTCAAATTTTCTCTAAAAATAGTATTGTCACCTGCTGTTTCCCATGGAAAAGACCAGAGGTATTTTGGATAACTTAATGCGTGTACTATCCAGCTCTCCCTTTGGTGCTCATGGCAATGTTTGCTTGCTTTTATTTTTATATTTCCTCTCCTGTTTTTTTACCTACTGAGGAACTGAACTGAGTCCTTGCATTCCTTCCTTCAGCCCCCTTTAACTTGGACCAGATAAATTCTAGCAGTTCAAAAAGGAGGAGGAGGGAAGGGAGAGCGGGAGAAATAATCAGCTCCTGGGTGCCGCTGTCTGCTCTCAGTGCCTTTACTCGTTCCCTCCCAGGAGCTCAGACCCCCCTGGCCTGCATTCAGTTCCTCCAATACACCCAGCCTTCCCCCCAGGAAGGTCTCTGTCCCTGTGCTTAGGTGCCACCATGCTGCCCCTACTGCATATCACAAGACATGCTGCTATCGCAGCTTAAATGGCACCCCGTCAGTGGGTCTCGCCTGATCCTTGGCTAAAGTGGCTCTTCACACATGCGCGCACACACCTCTGATTCTCCAGCAAGGCGCCTGTCCATTTCCTTCTTAGCCTTCCTCCCAGTCAGGAAAATGTATTGTACATTAGCCAGTAAGTGCTAAGGAGAGGACAGGAAAAGGTTGAGATTTTAGACCTATGAAGGCCTCAATGAGAAAAGAATATTTAAACAAAGACCTGAAGGAGGTAAGGGAGTAATCAGTGTGACTGTCTGGGTAAGAGCAATTTAGGCAAAGGGAACAGCGAAGATGCCCTGTGGTGGGAATATCCCTGGTGTGGGTACAGAACAGGGAAGCAGCGTTGTTGGAGTAGAGAAATGTGAGAGAAATCAGATGGAGTCAGATGCGGTGGGCGGGGCAGCTCTCACAGGGCCTTGTGTGTAGGGCATATTAAGGGCCTTGGCTTCTATCCTGAGTGAGACGGGGAGCCATGGGAGGGTTTTGAGGAGAGGAGTAATAGGGTCTGACATTGTTTTTAAAACAATGTCCCTCTGGCTGTTGTGTCAAGTTTAAACTGGAGGAGAGCGAGGGCAGAAGCAGGGAGACCAGGGAGAGAATTACTATAATAATCTGGAGCCAGGCTCCGGAGCTCATGCCTTTAACCATTGTACCCTATAGCCTCCTACCTCTGGGTTTTCTGGAAAACGGAAAAAAGAAAAGAAAGCTAAAGATTATGCATATTTCCACTATTTCCAGGTAGCCACTGTTAAACTGTGGTTCCTTCTGTATCCCCTCCCCTCGCCCCATGAGACATAATGTGGCATTCCTCTTATTTATATTGTGATAAAGTGGAAATGGAAAGGCATGCCCAGAAGGACGTGCACACTGGTTTGTGTTCTGGGATCATGTGTGTTCTTCCCTCATGGGCCCTCCTTTGAAAATATACTTTGGTCATAGAATCTAAAGGGATTTTAGCCAAAGATTAGACGCATTTCCAGATGGGAAATCATTCTTGCACTCACTTTATGTAATAGAGAGGAAGAAGCTGGTTTTTTCTTTGGGTAGGCATTCGCTCTTTGATCATACCACGTGTGGGTTCTTAGAACTTCAAGAACTCCAACCCAGGAAGGGTGTCCTGTGACAACTCCTCAGAGGCTGGGAAATAGGACAAAGATGTGAGCTTTGAGTTAGTACCTACCTCTTAGTCACCTCAGGGTATAGACTCTCTTCACCCGTCATGGTTGGGACGAGTGGATAGTTGATATGTTAATCATAAAAGTGATATGGCTTCTGTACATATTTTATTTCAAATCCAAACTTAAATCATTGACTAAAGGGCCATGCCTTTCTTTGAAGATGGCTCTTTTGGTAGAGTTTCCCATTGAGGTTCTTGCAAAACCTAGTTCTGGCTTTTGAAATAGAGCAAGGACTGTTGTGAGGTCATCTAAATGCCAGACCTTTCTAGATTTTTAAGATTTACTTGCAACATACATTAGTCTCACCCACACACAATTATTCACCAGCGATATTTTTTTGATGACTGGCCTTTATTGAGTCTTTCCCACCTGTCATTTCGGACCACTCTTTTTCTATTCCCACTCATATACCATTTATTTACATGCTATCTAATGATTTATGAATACTCAGTAAATCTGACGTAAATGGATTTGGGAATAAATATAGCTCACTGACCCTTGGTAAGCATAAAACTCAATGTGGAAAAGGAGTGTGGATAAGCTAGAGATGGGGGCATGAAGGAGCTTTCACTGTGCTGGTGCTGTGCAGGCTGTGTCTCTGCTGAGGCAGTTAAGGACAAGGTGTTTGAGAGACCTGAATATAATAATAAGCAGCTCAGCCTAAGTCACTATGCCCATTAGTACCTAGGTTAGTACATCCACTTGGGAATGTTCCAAGTGGCTTCATATGCAAATCTACAGAAAAATGGGCAACTTTTGGATTTGGATTTCCCACCTCCATTCAAACATCACTTTGTACTTAAGAAGCTACCTGTTGAGCTAAAAGTAGGAATCTTTTCTCCCTCCCCCAGCTGTAAATGGCAAGAACTTTAGTTTTGAACGTTTAGGGCTTGAGATGTTCTGTTTTGTTATTGTCATTGACTTAGGTGTGAGGGTTGTTGGTTTTTTTTTAATCTTAAAACTTTCCATATTTTGGACCCTGTAAAATGCTGCCTATGAAAACCACCTGCAAAGATCCATCAGCAACTAAAAACCACTCTGTGAGTTATGAGCTGTATCTACAAGTGCTAAAGCCATAACTCCACAGGTGCCTTCTTCAGTCATCTTCTCTTACCCGGTTGAGGGTGTGTGGCAACTCTGCCTTCCATGAAGCAGAATGCACTGGAAGTGGCTCTGCTTCTGTTGGACTGTTAGTGAAATAAGAACCCAGTGGTCCTCTTGAATCTCCAAGTCCCGGCCTTGGGTCTTAACCACCGCTTCCGTGACTCGGGCCACTTTGCTTAGCATCTGCTGGTTCCTTGTGAGCGAGAGCAGTCTCACACAGACGAGCAGCAGCAAAGAGCAGCCTGCCAATGGGAAGATGAATTCAAGACTTCCCCACACTCTTGTTTTTTTTTAAAAGCCCTCCTGCTCCCTGTCCAAGGACTTGAGCCTGGTTCTTCCCCATAAGAAGAGCTAAACATTTTGGGAGGAAACCCAAGCAAAGGTGGTATCAACTGCCTTGCAGCCAGAAGCTGCTGTGATAGTCCCTCATGTAACTGTAGCTTCCACTCCTTTCATTGTCTTGTGCTTTTAACTGGAGACCCCCAAATTTTCACAGTATTCTCACTGATTAGTAATTTAAAGGTGCTAAAAGTAAAAACTGCCATTCTGGGGTTACCCTCACATTCTTCCTACCATATAGGGAAGAAGTCTAAATATGGAAGCCTCGTGCTTGTCTTGCTGGTTCTTAAAAACCGTGCAAGTGCAGCAAATCTGAAAATGCTCTTGAGAGCCAGCGTTGCGCGAGTTGCCAGGGTTTGAGCTGAGTTCCACGGGGACATAGAACTCTGAGTCCAGAACCGTGA